AAAAAAAAAAAAAAAAGGCGAGGCTTGCAAGAGGTGATTAGGTCATGACATCAGCTCATGGACTAAGACAATAGCTCAGAATCAAACACAATAAACAGAAACACACACAAGAGACAGAGTACACTGAAAGAGAGAATTTTGAGTATTTCGTTATTCAGTCCTTTACTCTGCAACTTCCAATTTACTGCAAGTGTCTCCAAGTGTTCATTCTCCCCTTTTCACTGTTAGTAAGAGGATACCCCTGGAATTTCACCTGGGCATGTGGCTGAACAGACTACATTTCCCAGCCTCCCCTGAAGCTAGGCTTGGTGCTATGACCAAGCTCCTTCCAATGAGGCATGGACAACACTGTGTCACTTGCTAAAAGGAAGTTGCTTTTTTTTCTCTTCTTCCTCCCTGTCCCTTTTCTCCCAGGCTAGAACAAAGACATAATGATGATCCAGCTTCAACCAGAGATAAGGGCAATACCCTATGGAGTCGTAGGGCACTGAGAAGGCAGGCCTTAGCTGGGCATGGTGATTCACACCTGTAATCCTAGCACTCTGGGAGGCCGAGGTGACTGGATTGCTTGAGCTTATGAGTTCAAGACCAGCCTGAGCAAAAGTGAGACCCCGGCTCTACTAAAATAGAAAAATTGAGGCAAGAGGGTCAGTTGAGCCCAAGAGTTGGAGATTGCTGTTAGCTATGATGCCATGGCACTCTACCCAGGGCAACACCTTGAGACTCTGCCTCAAAAAAAACGCCTCCAAAAAAAGGCAAGCTTTTTAATCCCTGAGTGATCATGTGGAGCAGAGCCATCCCACTAGTACAAGTTACTCATGTGTGGACTTAGACTGTCACAGCGAGAAAATAAACTTCTATCATATTTAAGCCTGTAAATTTTGGGGGTATCTTTGCTACAGCAGTTTGGTCTGCCCTCTAACCAATACAGGTAGTTTCAGATGCATCCTTTAAGTCCTACAATCATCTTCAGAAAGGACTTATGAATCCATTGTGCGGATTCATTGGGGGAAAACTAAAACTCAGAGTGGTGACAACATGACCAAAGCCACATAGGCTAATATGTAAGAGAGATTCTAACCCAGATCTCATCTATTTAAGCCACCACTGTGCAACAAACCTGGGTGCCACAGCTCCAAAACAGAGTATTTAAAAATCAAACCTTGGGCCAGGCATGGTGGCTCACACCTGTCATCCTAGCACTCTGGGAGGCTGAGGTGAATGGATTGCCTGAGTTCACAGATTTAAGACCAGACTGAGCCAGAGCCAGACCTTGCCTCTAAAAAACAGCTGGGCGTTGTGTTGTGGCAGGCACCTGTAGTCCCAGCTACTTGGGAAGTTGAGGCAGGAAGATCACATAAGCCCAAGAGTTTGAGGTTGCTTTGAGCTATGACACCACAGCACTCTACCAAAAACAACTGAGTGAGACTGTCTCTAAAAATAAATAAATAAATAATAAAATTTTTAAAAAACTGGACACACTGAAGGAGGAGAGAGGGAAGGGGCTGGCAGCAGCAGCTTTAAAAAAATAAATTAAAAAAACTTTGTAATTTAAGGGCAATTTAACCCTTAATAAAAAATTTGAAAAAACAGAAGGACTAAATAAAACCACCTCTGAGGCTCAGCGTGCAGGGCACAGTGGTTAGGGCGCTGGCCAGAGGCACCGAGGCTGGCAGGTTCAAACCCAGCCAGGGCCTGCAAAACAACAATGACTACTGCAACAAAAAAATAGCCAGGTATTGTGGCGGGCGCCTGCAGTCCCAGCTGCTTGGAAGGCTTAAGCCTGAGAGTTTGAGGTTGCTGTGAACTGTGACACCATGGCACTCTACCGAGAGTAACAAAGTAAGACTCTGTCTCAAAAAAATTTAAAATAAATAAATAAATAAATAAAACCACCTCTGAGTTACTACCCCTGCACTTTCTTTTCTTTTCTTTTATTTTAAGAGACAGAGTCTCACTTTATCACCCTGGGTAGAGTGCTGTGACGTCGCAGCTCACAGCAACCTCCAACTCCTGGGCTTAGGCAATTCTCATGCCTCAGTCTCTTGAGTAGCTGGGACCACAGGTACCTGCCACAATGCCCAGCTATTTTTTGTTGCACTTCGGCCAGGGCAGGTTTGAACCCACCACCCTCAGTATATGGGGCCCACCCTCGGTATATGGGGCTGGCGCCCTACCCATTGAGACATAGGCGCCGCCCACCACCTTTGCACTTTCAGTACTAGCTTCCAGAATACCTCCTTTCACCCTTTTCCCTATATTTCCTGTAATAAGTTGAATGCTGGCCCACGTTCAGAACGGGTAAATATAACCTTACTTAGAAAAAGGGTCACTACGAATATAATTAAATTAAAGATCTTGAGATGAGCTCACTCTGGCTTACTGAGGGGGCCCCTAAACCTAGCAATAAGGATCCTTAATGGAGGCAGAAGACACTGAGAAGGGAGGAGGAGGCCTGCGAGGATGGAGGCAGAGACTGGAGTCTGTGGCCATAAGCCAATCAACGCCTGAGCCACCAGAAGCAGGAAGAAGCAAGGAAGCATTCTCCCCTAGAGACTTGAGAGTGTGACGAACACCTTGATTTTAGATTTCTGGCCTCCAGAACTGAGAGAGAAAAAATTTCTTGTTGTAAGCCAAAGAGTTTGTGGCAATTTGTTACAATAGCTCTCTGAAACTAGTGCACTTCTCTCTCTTTTTGTATAAACAGATGCAATCCTAGTAGGGTTTTGCCTCCTGTTTTTCTACTACTTTATATCGTAACCATTTCTCTAAATTATTGCTTTTTAACCCTAATTTTTAACGTTTCTTCAAAGTCAGGCGTATAAGATGTTTTCAGTTTGGGTTTTGGGAAGGATCTGCCGCGTGCAGGTAGCTGTCTCCAGGCCTTGCAAAGTTGAGGCTTAATCTTGACACTTGTGAGTGCACCCAACTCCACCCTGCTGCAGTCAGAGCCACACCTGTCCTGCCTGGGGGCTGAGGGAGACTCCCGGGCTCCAGGGCGGTGCCGGCCTCGGAGAGCCACCGCCACTCACCCGTATATCCTGCTGCCTGGCTCTCACGTCGTCCAGCGCTCTCGATGCCCCATTGATCTGACTGTACATGACAGTTACTTTATGCCTCAGCTTGGTCTGCGGAGAAAACAAACAAGGGTGAGAGAGCTCCTCTTTGGCCCAGCCCCCACAAGCACCCAACCCCACAAACCACTCCATGAATCCACCCGATGGTTATTTCTGCCACCCCTGAGCCTTGCCTATTTACAGTTTTTTGAAGCATTCTCATATTTACTGCCTTTAGTCTTTTTAGGGGGACAGGACAATAAGGAAGTCAAGAGTACAGGATTTGGAGCTGGACAGAACAGGGTTCAAGCCCCAATTCCCAGCTGTGCAACTGTCTCCTCACTTCCATCTTCTTGGCCACAAAATAGATGCAACCGTTCCCATCTCGCAGGGCTATTAGGAGGGTCGATTGATACGATGTAAGCCCTTAGCACAGTACCCAGATCTTAGTAAGGACATACTAACTGTCAGCTTTTATTATTCTGAGTTTCTCCACTACCACACATTTCATAGCTGATGAAAGTTAGGCAAGGGGGACAGCAGGGCGGCTAAGGACAGACCAGATGGTAATAGCAGGTGACATCATTTGCACCAAGACCCCCACTGCAAACCACCAGAACAGGAGGCAAAATACTAGGGGCGAGGGCGGTCCTGCTAAAAGACACTGGAAGAGCAAACAAAGCACAAGACAATGAAACCAAGATCCAGGAGAAGGACCCAGAGAACAAAGTCTCACATCACATATTGCTCTGTCCGGAGGCATCTGACAATCCCAGAAGAAAAGTGAGAAAGCCTTTGTCAACCGTAGGGAGGCAGAGATGGAAGTCAGAGCAGGGCTCACCTGGCCACTGACGGCTAGGAATAAGATGAATCAGCCCACAGGGAATGAAAGCCAGCTGAAAATGCACTCAATTCCTAGAACTAAATTCAGGTAATCCAGAATTGCTAGAAGGAATCCAGAAGGCCCCTGGCCACCTCCAGAAACAAAGGCAAACTAGTGTAGGAAGGAGGAGCATAGCATCCTCATATTATTCCTATCCATTTTCGTAATCAATATCTCTTATCTCCCTGCTTAGCTGAAATGTTGGGGCACAGAAATGGGAAGGGAAATGACCAGCACTGTCACCACAAAAATAGCAGCCAGTGTTTATCGCGTACTCACTGCGTGCCAGACACTGTGCTAGTGCTTTACACGTATTAACTTAAAGCTAAAAACAATACTATGGGCTGGGATTGGTAGCTCACGCCTATAATCCCACAGGTGTCCTCAAACTATGGCCTGCGGGCCACATGCAGCCCGCCTAGGACATTTATCCAGCCAGCCAGGTGTTTTTGCCGCAGCTGCCTGTCCTGCTTAGCCACCGACTCATCCAGGGGCCTGCAGTCCGGCCCTCCAACAGTCTGAGGGACAGTGAACTGGCCCCCTGTTTAAAAAGTTTGAGGACCCCTGCGGAGGCTGAGGAAGGTGGATTGCCTGAGCTCACAAGTTCAAGACCAGCCTGAGCAAGAGTGAGACCTTGTCTCTTAAAAAAAGAAAAAAATAGCCAGGCATTGTGGCGGGCGCCTACAGTCCCAGCTACTCAGGAGGCTGAGGCAAGAGAATCACTTGAGCCCAACAGTTTGAGGTTGCTGTGAGCTGTCACGGCACTCTACCAAGGGCAACAAAATGAGACTTTGTCTCAAAACAAAACAGACAAACACAAAAAACAACACTATGAGGTGCAAATGACTCAGTCTTTACAGATGAGGACACTGAGGCACAGAGCCAATTAAATGACTTGCCACACTGTTATCAACTGGCACAGCTAAGATCCTGGTATTAAAATTACAGACCAAGGACCAGGCATGGTCACTCTTGTTTGTAATCCTAGCATGTTAGAAGCCCAAGGCAAGAGGATTGTTTGAGGTCAGGAATTTGAGACCAGCCTGAGCAAGAGCAAGACCCTGTGTCTACAAAAAACAAAACTTAGTTGGTCAAAGTGGTGTGCACCTGTAGCCCCAGCTACTCAGGAGGCTGAGACAGGAGGATTGCTTGAGCCCAAAAGTTTAAGGCTGCTGTGAGCTATGTATGATGAGCTGCATTCTAGCCCAGGCAACAGTGTGAAACCCTGTCTCCAAAAAAAAAGGTAGACATTTCCCAAAAATTGAGCACGCTGGGCATTTCTAGGAAAAAGGCCATTTCCCTTCCCCTAACTTGTTGGCTGCACACACTGTGGCCCTCCCTTCCATTTCCTGCCTCTTCCACTCTACCCAAGATATTCCAGGCTGAACCTAATCTTGAATCTAGATTTGAACAAGCCAGTGACTGTCACATGTTAAGAAGTGGAAGCAGGGACCAAGGCTGTGCTGACCTGACCTAGGCAATACTGTGGCATTGCCCCTTAACCTGGCCTCTAACAGTGGCTGAGATAAGGTACAGGTCAAAGGTCGGGCCCAGACAGAGGTGGCCTTGCTGGTCTCAGAGCAGGAAGAGATCTCAGAATACCTGAGGTTGCCTCCTGCTTCATTTCCAAGAGCCCTGCTCTTACCACTGCACCCTGAACCCTGGATTTTAGAAGATTTTGTCTACCATCAATCAGACACATATGACCTCTCATCATGAACAGGGACCCATGCGCCTCCAGACCAAAGGAAAGCAGCCTGAGGATTTTGGTAGCTACAATATTCCCTAATCAAAGGTAAAGAACGTTTTGAAGTTCTGAGGATGCCTGCAAAAACTAGACTTGGGTCCTCCACAGTGGACACTCCCAGTCCAAAGTCTGCCCCACACCAGTAGCCAAAACAAGCCAGGCAACCCAGGTTGGGGGCTGGGACTGGCCTTGCCAACAGCAGCGAGCAGCAGCAGAGCTCACAGAAGAGACCCATTAAAGGATTGGGTAAGAGGGCAAGAGAATGGCAGATGGAGGCCTGTAACAAGGGTTAAAAAGCTGGGCTTGCACAGCACACAACGTTGGACAGACTCCCACTCTGGCTTCACTCAGGCTAACCATCTCCTTTGAAGACATAAGAACAGTCCTTGTTCTTCCTGACAGTGCTGTGAGAATGAAATAAAATCAGCCAATGCTTTGGGAGCTTACACAGACAAAACAAAAGGTGGTTTGATTTCATCCTCTGCTTCGAGTCCTTAGGAATCCACTAGCTCCACCTTCTCACTATACTGATGAAGACCCAAGTCCAGGAGCCAAAACTTGTGCTCAGGGACAACACTGTGGTGCACGAGTGTTGGCTCTCCTTTGGCTCAGATCCAGAGACAGAAACTCTACCTCTGCTTCCCTCTCAGTCTTTTTAATAACGACCCGCCCTGATCAGCAGAACTTTCCAGCCTCTGCTTACGTGACCAAAGGCTATTGCTTCGATGATTTCAAGTCTTTGGGAATGCACAGTGCTCTGACTCTATAGACCTGGATAAGAGGCTGGTCCATGGGGAGAAACCGCAAACTGGAATCAGACCAAGCTGGGTCCCAATGTCTGCTCAAGCTAAGTTAACTTCTCTGGACCTCAGTATCCTCAATAATATCCACCTCTTGGATGCTGCCAAGATTTAATGAGGGAAAAGAGATAACCCCAGGGTTCATATTTGACATTCAAAACCCTCTACTAAATACCATCAGACAAGGACAGGTTTAAGGCAAGCAACTTCACGTGTGTCTTCAGTTGTCCCTTCTGTAAAATGAGTGTGTGTGTGGGGGGGTGGAAGGTGGGTGATGGGAGAGGGCTACATGATCCCAAGATCTCAGGCCCAGCAAGGCGCACCTCCCCAAGGAATCCAGGGTACGGCAGAGATAGCCACCGTGTGGGCGGTGCCTGTGGCTCAGTTAGTAGGGTGCTGGCCCCATATACCGAGGGTGGGGGGTTCAAACCCTACCCCAGCCAAACTGCAACAAAAAAATAGCCGGGCGCTGTGGCAGGCAACTGTTATCCCAGCTACTCGCGAGGCTCAGGCAAGAGAATCGCCTAAGCCCAAGAGCTGGAAGTTGCTGTGAGCTGTGATGACACAGCACTCTACCAAGGGCGACAAAAGTCAGACTCTGTCTCAAATTAAAAAAAAAAAGAGAGAGAGAGAGAGAGAGAGAGATAGCCACGGTGACCCTCTGGCCCCTAAGGGGTCACTCCTACCTCCAGGTCGGTGCTGGCCTGGCTCAGGGACACGGGCGAGCAGGGTTTGTGCTCAACCAGGCATATGTGGCAGATGCACACGCTGTGCTCTGGGCAGAAAAACTCCCGCAGCCGGTTGTGCTGGGGGCATTTGCGGCGCAGCAAGTCTGCAACAGGCGGCTGCAGCAGGTGGTCCTGGAAGGCGGGGCTGTCTAAGTGCGGCCGCAGGTGCTCTTGGCAGAAGGAAGCCATGCACACCAAGCACGTCTTCACCGCGGCCTCCTTCAGGCAGTGGTCGCAAGCCACCCACACGCCCGAGGTGGGGGCCGCGGCGCGGGCAGGCGGCGTCCATTCGTCGGCGGGCGCTTCCCGGGCCAGCTCGGCCTGCAGGAACTGCTCCACCACGGCGCACAGCACCGTGTTCTTGCGCAGCTGCGGCCGCGAATGGTAGACGGCGCGGCAATGCGGGCACAGGTATGGCCCGCCCGGGCCGGCCCACGTCTCGTTCAGGCACGACCCGCAGAAGTTGTGGCCGCACGGGGTGGTGACCGGCTCCTTGAAGGGCTCCAGACAGATGGAGCATGACAGCTCGTCGGCCAGGGGGTACAGCTCCGCCATGGCGCTCCTGAGGCGACGAGACGGGACGCGCTGGAAGTGCGACCGCGACTGCCGTCCCAGCCCCTAGGCCGCCGAGGAAACGAAACCGAGTCGCGGAGGGCGGGCCGCGCGGCTTCCAGGAAGTCACGTGGGTGGGGGTGGGGGCGGGGGCGGGGGCGGCCCCTGCAGGCTGCGGGACGGCGCCGAGGGTGGGCGCCGACGGTGGGCTCCGCGCGCAGCCCGGGGCTTCAGGTCGTCCTCGGGGCTCCGGGAGCCTTCTGCGGCCACTCTGCCGACGAGGAAACCGACGCGTTCGGTGCAAACCTCGGACCCGGGTCAGAGCCGGTGTCCAGTCGGGCTTCCGCACAAACTTGCGCCGGGAGCGGGTCTTTCCAGAACTCCTGCAAGGCTGTAGATACACTGATGTCCCCACCGTCCTGCTAGCCCGACAGCTCTTTTAAGAAATAACAACTGGACGAAGCGCAGTGGCTCACACCTGTAATCCGAGACCCCGGCTCTACTGAAAATAGAAAATCTAGCCAGGCGTTGTGGCGGGCACCTGTAATCCCAGCTACGTGGGAGGCTGAGGCTAGAGGATCGTTTGAGCCCAGGAGTTGGAGGTTGCTGTGAGCTATGATGCCACCCTACTTCAGTCTGGGGCAACAAAGTGAGACTCTGGCTAAAGAACAAAAACTGTAGGCTCGGCGCCTATAGCTCAACCGGCTAAGGCGCCAGCCACGTACACCTAAGGTGGCGAGTTC